CACCCTTATCTTACCTACTACGAATTCTTAATACTATTAATTTAAAAATTTAACTTTCTTAATTCTAATTGCCTCTCTATATTACTTGCTATTTGCTTATCACTATTTTACATTTTATATTTCTAAATGAAACATGTCTAAATCTACACTTATATATGAAACTAATCTTACTTCTAATCCTAAATATATTTAATTTTAAACCTACATTAAGTGTATATAATTTTAAGTTTACCTTAAAACTTAATTATTTCCTATTCCTTATATTTAACTAATACCTACATCTATAATAAACATTTATCTTTTAATTATAACTGCTATCTATTTAATTCTAATCCTTACTTTAATTTTAACCTTCTTTCTAATTAAACTATAATATTTCTTAAATCAAAAGGCATGTCTGTGACTTGTTTTTCCCAAAAACACCTGTTTGTGGAGATACTCTGTCTCAGTTTCTCACTCCCTCATCAACACAACTGTCAATGTTGTTACTTATAAAGGGTGTGAGGAAGTACTTGTTTTTCCTTTTTAGCTAAAGGTTGCAAAATTTGCATTCCCTTGTCCCTTCAGGGGGGAAATTTTTTGCTGTTGAGCCCTTTTTACATTTTTATACATAGGTTTATTGCTAATTCCACATCCTTGCACATTCTAAGGGGCACCCTTTTTGCTGCAATCTCACCTCCATTCTGCCTATGTATAATTTTTGCTGTCAAATGCCATCGTCCATTTGCGCATCTATTATCTCAATTAAAGAGGGAATATTTTCAAGCCTACGCATGCAATCCTTCAAAGTTAGGGAAGGTCCGCCAACAGGATCCATGGGACTTTGCCTCCGTCATGGCCGCTTCTTACTGGGGCCTTGCTCCTAGCCGGCGTTTTTCCTGTTTTCAGGTCCCTTTAACCTTACTTTTACTAGTGATTGTGGCTCCTGGCATAACACATTTAAAGTAGGATTGATCACATTTATTTCAAGTGAAGACTACCACATGTGGCTAGTGGTCATTATTTTGGACAGCACCAGTCTACAAGCAGAGGCCTATACTTAGCCTTCAGGAGCACCAAGGATAATATATTATTTCATTACTTTATTATTACTATTATACCAACCACTACCCTAGCAGGAAAACCTAAATAATTAGTTTTTTGCTTTTATGCACTGACCAGTGCAAACCACACATTTGATACTAGGACACTAAAAATTAAATTAAATTAAAATGGTATATACTTTTTGTTCATTTTCCACTTTTGCTCGTCTGGTTATGCAGAAATGTTCCCAGACCGAGGGATCTAAGCCTTCTGGCATGTTATTAATGTTGTCCAACTCATCCATGGCTTTCATTAACTGGGCAATGGTGTCCTTATTCAGCTTGCCAGATCCTGGTCGTTCTCCAAAAGGGACAATACTTGTTGTATCTGAGTGTGTTTTCTGTTTGGGAATCCTGATATTACCAAGAAAAGTCTGTTAGCATTTCACATTCTCACAAAACATCAGTGTTAAATAACTAAACCATTAGCATAAGCATGACACATTGTATGACTCTTTCCTTTGGCATGTGAGGGCTCATGAGTGGATACAGATAAAAGCACCCCACTTTATCCTTTTTCCACGCTCTATAGATTTGCAGACCAGACCCTGGCCGGACTATAGATGTTCTTAACTGTTGTTGGCAGTGATAGACAACTGCGTCTATGCTAGGACACATTTCCTTTCTGTGTACTATAAGCAGGGAAATAAATACCCAGAAGTGTGGGTGTTCCCTAGCTCTGTCTTGCACATCCTTTACTGGTAACCTTTGTTTGTAGGTAAATAGCCTGTAGTGTGTTTAGATGTATGTGAAATTGGAGAAGCTCCTCTTTATATCTACATTAATAGATCAGTTTTGTCCCCCTAGGCTATAGCTGGGAAGGGAAGGTTACAAAGACTTGTGCACTCATTTTCAACATGTTTTATAGTACCCTGTGAGGTTGGCTCTGTATTATTGTCCCTGTTCTCTAGATGAGAAAAGTCAGGCTTTGAGAGAAGCTCGTGGTCAAAGATCTGACAGGTGATGAAATTAGGATTTAAAGCTAATTCCGTCTGACAAGAAAGCTTCTGATTTTCCTTAAGCTGTTTCCCAATATGTACAAGGTATCACTTATTTCTTCACAAGAAAAGGTTTATACTTGAGCTTATAACAATTGGCTCCTTTCAAAATAGGCAAAGCAAAACATGAGGCATATTATAGGCTAAATGCCTTATGTTGCATCAAAGTTTGTATCTTAGACATAATTTAGCCTTCACCTTTGTGACAAAGTCCATGATTTCTAATTTTGATTGAAAGTTATGAAAACCTTAATTTATAATAGTGGAAATCAGTGAAATGTAATTCTAATACTACTCTCAATTTTTAAAAAATCAGATATTTTAGAACTCTTTTGAAATGGTTGTTTTCAACCATTTATATAGCATTTGTCAAACTTTGTCTTGAGTACAATCACATAAGATATTCTGAGGAAAGATGATTTGTGGTTAAATAAGTTTGAAAAACACTTCTTACTGTATGCCTTATGGTTGGAGAGATTCAAAGACCAATAAGTTATTCAGTAAAGAAAGTAGGAGAAAAATCTGTGAAGACTAACTTTTTAAAAAACCTAGTATTTTCTCCAACTCATTTAGTCTTATAAGTCCATTACATGTAGTTTCAATTCAAACCACAAGGCACTCATATTTTTTGCAACACACCTAGGAAAAAACTGTTTATAAATCCCTATGCCATCTGTGACTTTAGAGACCACTTTTATGTATAGAGTAGAACATATAATGGCACTATGGTTACATAGATACTTGACTATTTTTAAATAATGAAAAGAAATAATTATTCTTTTTTTCCTACCTTAAGATACAGGCATAATCTTTAAAAAATACTGAATTATGATCAAAACACTTAAACATCTCCACTTAAAATATGTTAAACTCAATGTTTCCATCTAATCGGGAGGAGAAAAAAGCTGTATCACTCCTCTCCATTTTCAAACTTTCCTCAGAAACATAATAGCAAAGGAGAAACAAACCTTGGTCGGCGTTTAAAAAGTTTATAGAGCATATCCACTTGATGACTGGAGAGTTCAGAAAATTCTTTTTTAAAGCTGCGATCCATAACCTAAGTACAAACACATCATTTCGGGGATTACAACTTTGCTCAGAAACCTTTTATTTGTTGACAATACTCTTCAAAAACACAGGTTGTATCACTTTGATTTTTAAAATCTGTGAAAAATTAGTTTATAGAGTTGTTACAGGTTGACCAATCACTGTGCAAAGATTTCTCAAAGATTTGTTTTGAGTAGAAAGCACCTTAGTGTATTAAAAGTGTTTTTTCATGTAAAGAAGTCTTAGAAACCACTCATAATAGAAGTTTCCAAAAATAATATTTATCCACAAAGCATGCAACTTATTCTAATCTATTATTTGCCTTTCTCTTCTGTTCCAACCTGTCTTCCTTCACTATTCCCTCCTATTCTTTTCCATTAAAAAAAAAAAAAAACTGCTGGTCATAGCCTACAAAATTGATTTCATAACCAACTAATAGGCTCTTCAAGCTGAAGTATGAAAAACCCTGAAGGCTAGATGATCTCCCTAGTTTTTGTACAGAAGAAACCTAAATCAGAGAAGTTTATAAAAATTCATTTTAAACATAGATTTTCAGAAATATATAATGGCACAGAATGAATTTCACCCCTATCTAAGAATAAAAGTAGGAGAAAAATCTGTGAAGACATTAAATTATATCCCCTTTAGCCATCCATGAATCCAGGCAGCAAAAACTCGACTGCATTGCTGAGTTGGTAAGACAATGACTCTCACTTTGTCTTCTGCCAGTAAGTTGTCATAGTGCTCCTTGTACATATCGAAGTCTTCTCTAGATTTCCGGATAGCTTCTGAAGTCTGGCTCTATAATAACATTAGGAATAGTTCATTGAACTGGAGACTTTTCAGCATAAACAAAAATATTGGTGATACTAAAAAGAACAAGGAATTTCCTAATACAAGATAAATGTGTCAGAGAAGTATCTATTAGAGATAACATTCATAGAAGAAAGTAAACCAGTTGGGAACTTTGAAAGAACCAACATCCAATCCTCGAAGTATAGCCAGCTCTATGTGTGAATAAGTGTCTATGGCACACACTACATTCTTGGCAGAGCAGTGTGGATGATGAAAGTGCACAGGCTTGGGAGTCATGCAGTGTACATGGACCTGGGTTTGGGGGGGCTGAATATACAAACAGACAAGGGTCAGACATTATATAATGATAGGACTCTGACCCAAAACTTCCACAGTCACCATCCTATGTAGGGACTGACCTCAAACTGTCAGGGCTTTATTAATACCTGTCAGCTTCTTTCATTTTTGTCCCCATTTCCAACATAGAACTATCCAGAGAAAGCCACACATGTCCAACAAACTAATCATGTAGGTTGTCCTGCTTCTAATTGGTTTGCTTCCAGCTTTCTCATGCCAACAACTTGCAATCAGTTTGTACCTGAAGCCCTCCCTTTTTTACACTGTAAAGCTTTCCCACTCCTTTCTGCCTCTGAGTCTCTGCCAGACAAAAGTGATGTTGGCTGATTCCCTTGCTATGCCAAACTCTGAATAAATAGCTCTGCTTATTCCCATTTAGAAGGTCTTCATTTATTTTCACAGTTCCAATTCCTGCCCTGTTATATGCTAATGGTTGATGGAGGCCTGTTACCCAGCCTCTTTGAGATGGTCTTATCTGTGAAAGAAAACTAGTACACTGCAGAGTTGTTATGAGTAGGGTTGGGTTTAGAATATGCTTTGCAAAAAAAGAGAAAAAAATTTAAAAAAGAATATTCTTTGCTTGTGTTGTTTAACAGACTCTTAGGAAAATAATACGTTCATATGTCATTTATTATACAAGCCATGCATTCATAAATGTCCTTTATTACTACTAATAATGAAAGCTTGCATATGTTGACATTTTTTGTTATAAACATTTTATATTCATTGTCTTTTTAATAAACCATATCTATTCATGTCCCTATTTAGAGTTTTTCATATAAAACATTTTTGCATTCTATAAATGAATCCATTGCTCACATATTTAGTAAAACTTAGAGTGTCATGCAGTCCGAAGAGAACAACATTCTCTTGTAAGCAGCTTAAAAGGTTATAGGCCTTGTCCAAGGTCCTGCAGCCAGTTGTCAGGAGTTAAAAGCTGGTGATTTCAACTATGAAGTTATATAGTCTTATTTTATAAACCTCATGTCACATGAAAGCTACATGGTTCTTTTCATTAAATAACGGCAGACGCAGAATCATATATTTATTAACAGATTAAAATGAGTAGTTTCACCTGGCCCTGGAGAAGAGTGCCAGACAGGGAGCTAAGGGAATACTTGGCTGGGTAGGAAAGGTGGAAGAAAGGAAGGAAGAGTCTAGACACTTAAACAAGGAGAATGTTTGTCAGGAAATGTTTGCACTCAAATATAAGACACTATTCTTACTTTCTCCTGCTGTTTTCTTGTAAGGTAATTGTTCAGGAATTTTTCTCTGGTGCTTAATTCTTCATCCAACAGTAAAGAAAAAACAAGGTTATTTATTTTCAATTCCTCCTGCAGAAATATTTTTTAAAAAAAGGTGGGTGGGGGAGAGAGATGATCAATACTCCTACCTGAGAAGGAATTTTCTATTGACAGTCATAGACTTGACACTAATAAAACAAATTTAGGACATACAAGTAAGATAAATTTTAAAGAAAAAGGGGATATAGGTTATTGCAAAGACTATTTAGATATTTTACCTTTTTCATCATTTCGTTGTAAGGTAAAATGCATTTACAAAAAAATACATAATACAAAAATATAGTTTTAGTTATTATAAAGGCAAACACCCTTGTTATCATCACTCAATTCAAGAAATAAAACTTTGCCACTTTAGTTTAGAAGCTCCTACCATGTATCCTTGTCAAAAGCTCAGCCCCAGTAGTAACCACTGTCCTGACTTTTATAGTAATGACTTCCTGGTATTTCTTTGTAGTTTTATTACCCAAATATGTATATGCTATGATTTGGACATTGTTCCCTCCAAACCTCATGTTGAAATTTGATCCTCAACATTGGAGGGAGACATAATGCGAAGTGTATGGGTCAAGGGGTAGACCCCTCATTAATAGATTAATATCCTCCCTCGGGTCAGAGGGTGAGTGAGGCCATGCTCTATTAGTTTCCATGAGAGCTGGTTGCTGAAGAGTCTGGCACCTAGCTCCCCTCCCTCTCTTGCTTCCTCTCTTGCCACATGGTCTCTGCACATGCCAGCTCCCCTTCATCTTTCACCATAGTGAAGGCAGCCTGAGGCCCACATCAGTTGCCTAATCCTGAACCTTCCAGCCAGCAGAATTGTGAGCCAAATAAACTTCTTTACAAATAATGCAGCCCTTTGTTCCTTATAGCAACACAAAACTGAATAAGACAGAAACCTAGGCACTATAACTTATTCACTAAAAAATTGTCATGCCTTTTAAATCTCTTATCTTCACGCTCCCTTTCATTTCTTTCTTTTCCTCATGATGTATTTGTAGTTATCAACAGTTTCTGTAGTTTCACCTGGTCTAGCTTTTCTGCTTATGTACTCATAGGGTAGTTCATCTGGCTCTTACATGCTTTGTATTTTCTGAAAATTGGCAGCTGGGTCTAGAGGCCTGATAAGAACTAGGTTTGATCCTCTTAGTAAGACCACTGGTGGTATTGTGGTCTTTGACATTGAGAGATGCAAAATGTTGATACTCTATTTCTAGTTTTCTTGCAAACATCTGGGTTTTTTGTTGTTGGTGGTGTTGTTGTTTACTATTCATTCATTCTCTCATTCATTTTAAAGATGTGGGGCACAATTCAGGATTAAGTATACAAATGTTCATTATGCAGGTACCCTTGTTGATGAGCTGTGCCCCTCCTTCCCCTGGCAGGTTCCCTCAACTTCCAATCCCACCCTCCCTCCCCTGGTAGTTTCCCACTATTGCCAATCCCTTTCTTATAGTATTACGATAATTGTTCAAGGTCCGCTTATGAGTGAGGACATATGTTACTCAGTTCTTTGTTTCTGTGATAGATCACTGAGTATGATCGACTCTAAATCCATCCAAGTTGCTGCAAAGTCCATATGTTTGTCTTTCTTTATGACTGCACAATATTCCACTGTGTATATGTACTACTTTTTTTTTATCCAGTCCAATCGATGGGCAGCATGGTTGGTTCTATGTTTTTGCTACTGTGAATACAGCTGCAACAAACATGCATGTGCAGGTATCTTTTTTGTAGAATGATTTGAGTTCCTCAGGGTATATTCCCAATAGGGGAATTGCTGGGTCATATATAAGGTCAATTTCTAGTTCTTTCAGAAATCGCCACACTGTCTTCCAAGGTAGTTGCACTAGTTTGCATTCCTACCAGCAGTGTAGAGAAGTGTTCCTTTTTCTCTGCATCCTCGTCACATCCTCGTCAGCATCTGTTGCTGTTTGTTTTATTAATGATGGCCATTCTTACTGGGGTTAAGTGGTATTTCAATGTGGTTTTGTTTTTGTTTGTTTTTTTTTGAGTTGGAGTCTCACCCTGTTGCCCAGACTGGAGTGCAGTGGCCGCTCCCGGCCACCACAGCCTCGACCTGCTGGGTTCCAACGATCCAGAATTATAGGCATGCGCTACCACGCCCGGCTGATCAATGTGGTTTTGATTTGCATTTCTCTGATGATGAGTGAGGCTGAGCCCTTTTTCAAGTGTCTGTTGGCTGCTTGAATATCTTCTTTTGAGAAGTATCTAGTTATGTCTTTTGCCCACTTTTTAATATGCTGTTTGTTTTTTTCCTTTCGGCACATTTGGGTTCCTTGTAGATTCTAGATGTTAGGTCTTTGTCAGATATACAGTTGGCAAATATATTTTCCCATTCTGTGGGCGTCTCCCTGCTGTCTTGATGGTTTCTTTTGCTTTGCAGAAGCTTGTCAGTTTGATGAGGTCCCACTTGTCTATCTTATTTCTTATGGTATGGGCACTTAGGGTTTTGATCAGGAATTGGTTGCCAGTTCCAATTTCCATAAGGGTGTATTTTTTTTTAAGTTGAGGTCTCACTCTGTCACGCAAACTGGAGTGCAATCATGGCTCACTTACTCTTGACTTCCTGTGCTCAGGTAACCTTCTGCCTCAGCCCCAAGTAGCTGGGACTACGGGTATGTGCCACCATGCTCACCTAAGTTTTTGATTTTTTTTGTAGAGAGGAAGAGAGGAGGTCTCACTATGTTGCTCAGGCTGGTGTCAAACATTTGGGCTCAAGCAGTCCTCCCATCTCAGCCTCTCAAAGTGCTGGGATTATAGATATGATCCACCACATTTGGTTCCTTTTACTTATTAATTGAAATAATCTTAGTAAAAGATGCTACTCCTTATCTACTATTTGGTTACTTAGTGATGCAGTTCAAATAGGAAAGGTAAAATACATACCTGATGTTTTCTCTTTATCCGTTGTTTAGATAAATTTGTTGTTGTCCTCTGAAGGTGACCAATTGGCATTTTTATTTTTAAAATATCTCAAATTCATGAATGCAAACATATTTTATGGATTTCAATTAATTGAAATTATTATTATCTTTAAATCTTAAATTGTCTCATTTAGGAGAAATGTTTAAGTTAGCTCCTGGTTCCTTTTGATAGTACCCAGTGGTCTAATAGTTTTCTCAATATCTTGTATAACAAGATGTTCTAATCATATCTTATTTTTAAATAACAGTTTTATTGAGATATAATTTTTGTACCATATAACACACCATTTATGGTTATAATTCAATGTTTTTAGTATATTCAGAGTTGTGTAACCATCACTACAATAAATTACAGAACATTTTATCACTCTGAAAAGTCATTTCCTATTCCCCACCCCAACTCCCTTCACCTCCTCCTCCCCTCCAAAACAATCATTTACCTAATTTCTGTCTGTAGAAACTCTGTCTATAGAAATTTGCCTATTCTGAACATTTCATATAAATGGAATCATACAATTAGTGGTCTTTTGTAACGGCTTCTTTGAATTAGTATGTTTTCAAGGTTCATCTATGTTTTAGAATGTATTAGCACTTCATTTCTTTTTATTGCTGAATAATATTTTATTGTATGGATAAACTATATTTTATTTATTCATTTAGAGCTGTTGGATATTAGTATTGTTTCCACCTTTTGGCTATTTTGAGCAGTGCTGCTATTATGACTAGTGCTGGGGCATGCATTCTCCCTTGTTCCCTCTATATACATATATCTCTTCATGCTGCATCAGTGATTTGTGTTTTATCTGGCCACAACTCAAGAATCACTTCTCTCCCATGGCTACAGGTCTTGCTGGGTTCTAGGAATGGCTCTCTTCTTTTGCCTTTTTAGCTCTAGAAATGGTACTGGTCTCCCATTGTTTCCAATCTTAATAAGTTTATCAATCCTTGCTGCTTCCCTTAACCCTGTCCATACCCCTGAAAAAAGTCCCTTTATTAAACTCTGTTAAATGTAACCTTTTCAGTGTTCCATTCCTTTTAGGATCCTGAGTATATAGCCATCCCCCTGCAGATTCTTTTCACATCTCACCAGTGCTCCATCATCTTTTCTCATTAATCTTCTGGCTTTAGTGAGACATTTCCCCTAATAGCTCTCTATGAATGAGTTCATGTAAATTTTGGAGACCTTGAATTTCTCAAAATATTATTATTCTTCTCTTAAACTCAATTGATAGTTTGGCTGGCTATAGAATCCAATGATAGAAATAATTTTTCCTCAAAATTTAAAGGCATCACTCCTTCATCTTCTTTTTTCTAGTTACTGCATACTTCATTTGTATTCCTAGTGTTGGGTAAATTTAAGGTAAGTTTTTCATATGATATTTTGGGATATAAGGATTTTTCTTTCATTCAACATGTGCTGTTACCTTTGCAACTCATTGGAGATAGGTATGAAAAAGACAGACTTAGTGACTACTCTCATGGAGCTTATAGTCTTGAAAGCATTAAAAAAGAATATAATAAAAGTTAAAATTCAGCTTCAATAAGTGGTAGAAAGAAAAAAATAACAGAGCATATAATAGGAAGATATAATCTAGTCTGAGGAATTGACTTTTAAGCTGAGATCTGAAGGACAGATACAGTCCAGTCATGAGGAAAGAGGGTACTGGGTGTGTTTGAGTCACCAAAAAGGAAGTGTGGCAAGTAAAGGGGAGAGTGACACAAGATGAAGCTAGAGAAGGACCCAAGGTCCAGAGAATTCAGGACATTGGCACTTGGTAAGGGTGTTGGTCTTTATCCTAAGAACTATGGAAGTCCCCTGAAGACTCCTTTAAAAAAGTCACATAAGTAAAACTTTGATTTACCTGGTTGACAACCATCTCTGCCTTCACTCGTCTTTCAAAGAGTCTCTTCAAATGTTCATCAAATGACTGTGTGCTTTCTTGAATAGAGTTTTGAAGTTTCCTCAATTCTGCTTCTAATGACTGAAAGGAAGGCAATAATCAAGTTAAAATTTAGGAATATTACATATCGTTCCATTTGTAATTAATTAATTTGTGGAAAAATACTTTGAGACTATGTAAAATATCTTGTTCCTCATCACACTTTTATCTACCAGTTTTAGCATCCGTTGATGGTTCTTACTTGAATCAATTATTACTACAATGGTAATTAGTTTAAAAAGCCAAGTCCCGCTGGGCTTGGTGGCTCAGCCTGTAATCCCAGCACTTTGGGAGGCTGAGGTGAGTGGATTGCCTGAGTCTGCGGGTTCAAGACCCTCCTGGGCAACTTGGTGAAATGATAATAAGTCATCTCTACAATAAGTCAAAAATTAGCCAGGGGTGATAGTGCACACCTGTAGTTCCAGCTACCTGGAAGGCTGAGCCAGAAGGATCGCCGGAGCCCAGCAGGTCGAGGCTGCAGTGGCCGGGAGCAGCCACTGCACTCCAGTCTGGGTGACAGAGTGAGACTCCAACTCAAAAAAAAAAAAAAAAAAGCCAAGTCCCCTCTATTCTGGCTTAATAAAGAGACTGGCTCTGGGAAGATGATGGAAAAAGAGTAAATTTAGCAAAAAGTATAGTGCTGTATGATGCAAGGCAACATATCATCCAAATTAAGCTACTATAGTAAGGAAATATGAAAGTAAAACAAAAACAAAAACACATTTCAGGGTCAATTTCCTTGTAATAATTTACATCACTATCCATAGGAATGAAAAATCCCATGGATTGTGGTCTCTTAGGTCATGTGAATTTAGTAAGTTTAGGTGTTTCTAGATAATGGAAGCATTACCACATAGCAAATGACCCACAGACTCAGCCAGCCAAGGGCAGGTTGTCTAAGTGTCTTGGGTCCACCCTTTTTAAAACACTGAGGTTCTGGGCCTTTGAGGGTCTTGGATCCTGAAAGGATATTTTATAACATAAAAAAACCTTTTGCTTTTTCATTTTCTAATACTCCAAATTATTCTCATTGCAGCCCTTTTCACATGCTCTCCCACCTGTCTATACTTCATTTCCCATTTTTCAACCTGTTCACTGTTTCTCATGTTTCCAATGCAAGCATAAATGCTAGGCTCTCAAGAAAGATTTCCTGGGGACCGCTCTTAAGTTGCAGAAGCAAAACCTGAAACAGGGTTTTCAGTGCTTTTCTGGAGGGAGCGCTCTTGAGAAGACACCTGTAAAGGGATGAGGGAAGCAGGGCAGGCAAAGAGCTGAGATAATAGGATCTCAGTGGTTTGGCCATGGCTTGATTCCCAGGGTTGGAGGGTAATGAGAAAGACTATGAAGAGTTGTGTCACCTTGGGGTGATGGGGCTGGGCTTTTGTACCACCTCTTCACTGGGCTCTATCAGCCAGTCGTTGGCTGCCCTGTTGGGGGTGGTAGTATAAACTTGCAGATGTCTCTGGACAAGGATGCTTCTTTGATCAACCAAGAACACTACTCCAGAGGCCTCAGGTTTATGCCTCTATAGCAGCACTCATAGCAGCAAGGAGACAGGCACATCAGCCTGTAAAGGATACTGGTAGAAATAGAGGGCCTGATCTAAGTCAGTGCCTCTGTGTTTACTATCATAGATACCATTCTAAACTTGTTCTTCTAATTTATCACACTGTAATTAAGTAATTATCTTCTGAATATTCAGTTACTGCATAACCATCTCTACCCCAAATAATGGGCATCATGAGATGTGGGTGCATGAAGCTATGTCCGTCTCACACATTTCGCTCAGAACCTGACACTGTGGTAAGCACATAGTGGATGGACACTCAAGGTGTATTTGCTAAAGACATGAATGTCACTTTCCCTCAAACATTCCTCAAACATTCGAAGCTATGTCCGTCTCACACATTTCGCTCAGAACCTGACACTGTGGTAAGCACATAGTGGATGGACACTCAAGGTGTATTTGCTAAAGACATGAATGTCACTTTCCCTCAAACATTCCTAGGAAAATCAAATTTTGTCTAAAAATATGTGTATCAGATGCTGAGCAGTAAAAAGCAGGGGAGATGAAAAGTGAAAGACCAAGTAGGAGGTATGTGTGATATGTATGAACCATTGAAGAAATTCATCACTATGAGAAATCCCAGAACTTCTCCCAGTCTTAAAACAAAGAAAATGACCTGTAATGTAAGAAGGTACAGCTGACCTGGCTGTAAGCTCCTGAGGCAAAGGCTACATTCTTTAACCTATGAATCCCCAGTACTACTCAGAAGAGTGCCTGGCACATAATGTGTCAAAAATATGTCTTTTAAGCTGGGTTCGGTGGCTCAGCCTGTAATCCCGTGCCTTTGGGAGGCTGAGGTGAGTGGATTGCCTGAGCCCGCAGGTTCGAGACCCGCCTGGGCAGCAAGACCTCATCTCTACAATAAACCAAAAAAATCAGCCGGGCGTGGTAGCACATGCCTATAATTCCGGCTGCTTGGAAGGCTGAGGTGGAAGGATCGCTGGAGCCCAGCAGGTCGAGGCTGCGGTGGCCGAGAGCAGCCACTGTACTCCAGTCTGGGTGACAGAGTGAGATTCCAACTCAAAAAAAAAAAAAATGTCTTTTAACTCAAGAAGTACTTATTGAGGGCTTATTATGGCTCAAACATAGTTCTAAAAACTTGGAAAATGTATTGAATGAAGAGACAAAATCTCCGTCCTTATAATATATTCTAGTAGAGATGACAGATAATAAGTAAACAAGTAAAAATGAAGCAGGCCAGTTGGTGATAAGTACTATTGCAAAAAACAAAATGGTGATTTATTTTCAAAATAGTGTCTAAATGTCTTACTTCCTGGTTCTTCATGTCTTTTTGACAGACTTTTAAAAAATTGATGAGATCCAATCAAACTGAGACCCACATATAACATCATATATATAAAATAGGTGACTTTTTACCCAATCAATACGTAATATATAAAATAGGTGACTTCTCTAAACCAATCCAACATGTAATTTAGATGACATCCAAAAAAAATATAACCTCTATGATACCCAGCCAGTAAAAAACCAAGAGAGAAACTTACACTTTAAGATATAAATACACTCACTATAACTGTCTTGGTGTGCCTACGCACCAGAGAGACAACCCATTTTTACAAGAATGATATTTTAAAAATTACTTCACTCCACTGATCTCTGAGTCTCCATGTCATGTTCTAATGAAAAAACTAAAGAGAGTTGTCCTCATCTCCCACAACTCTGGGGGCCCTTCTGGGATACCTGGGACTGAGGGACCAGACCCCTGTCAGAGGGAGACACGGTGTCCTACCCAGTTTTTGCTGACTCACTCAGGTGCTCCTGGTTCCTGCTGCTCTGCAGTTAGACCTGAGACTGTTATCCAAGACTTGGCAGAGGAGATGCTGAGAAAGCAGTTACCACATGGGGTGGCCTGGGAACCTCATGCGTGAGTCAAGGTAGGAAAATCAGGACTACAAATACTGCCTTGGGGGTCAGAGAAAGTACTTGGAGGTTCAGTGTGTGTAACTGAGATGTATCTCAGATTCAAAGTGAGTTCAGAGTCCCAATCCATGGTTTCGTTGTCCCCCAAGGTAAATGGCCAGAGATGGATGAAGCAAGTCTTAATGTATGCAAGAAACTTCCAGTACAGGGGGTTGACCACATTAAAAATTCAAAAACCAGACAACTCACCTGTTAACTGAGAATGGAAAAAAGACAGTCTAGACCTAGGAAAGGAGGTTGAGAAGACTCCCTTGAAATTCTCCCAGATAGTCCATTGAGGTGAATGTTAAAAAATTGGAAAGATGGTTACAAAACTAAGAAAAAAAAATGATTAAGTTTTGTTGCTTTGTATGGATTAGAGAACCAATCTGCCAACCCTCAGTATTCTGGTGGAAATTCAGCTCAGCTGAGAACAGACTTTGTCAGATTCTAGTATTATACATAAATAATAAACATTCTATTTCACCTGAAAGAAGAGATTACACCACCTGTTGGCTTCTAAAAGCCCTTCCTACGTTTCCTCTCCAAATGGAAAATAAAAAAGAGAAAATATCTGAACCTCAAAAAAAAAAAAAAATTCCTGGGGTTCACTATTCTATATTCCTCCCCATTTTATCCCCAAAGAAACTAGAGATATAAAAATAAATATATAAATATAGATACAAAAATATATAAAATAAATATATAAAAATATAGATTAAAAAACAAGAGATATAAATCTATCAGAAACTCAAAAATTAGGAATCCCAAGCCACAAAACTCTATATCCTAATTTTAAGAAAATATTAAAACAATGTAAAAGGGACATTAAAGCATTCCCTTTTGCCTCTGGAAGTCCTGATACAGACTCAAAAATGTTCCCACTAAAAAATTTCCTCTAGGACAGAGAAATATTGGTTTTGTCAATGCCCCACTTATTAAAATAAAATAAAAAATTAAAAAGCCACTATTAGATGAGCCCCTAGTATTAACAGATCAAGTTGTTCAGTTCCTTAAGACCCAATATATATGCCTAAATAAAACTTATGTCCATTATAAATATTCTATTCATGGGGGAAAAAAGTAATTGAAAAGACTGCCATGTCCTATGAAAACAAGAACATCCCCCAGGCCCAGAAATATAGCCAGCCAAACAAAAATACCCAAATATAGACCCTAGATGAAATAATAACGACCAAAAAGATAAAATTAAAATACAAGATTTAAGGGAATTAATAGTTAAAGGAATTTTTAAAAATCAACTCCAAGGTCTCAAAATGGTTCAAAAGCCTTAAATCCAACAACAACAAAAAAACCCTCCTTTTTACAACAACTTAGAGATCAAATGAAAAAATACTCAAAACTAGACCCAAAAGACCTTGTGACTTGGGCAAAGTCTCGGGATATAAAATAAATGTACAAAAGACAATCACATTTCTTTACACCAATAATAAACAAACAGAAACCCAAATAAAAAGCACAATCCCATTCACAATAGCCACAAAAAAATGAAATACCCTGGCATCTTACTAACCAGAGACGTGAAAGACCTTTA